TTAGTGTTATTATACTTTATTGTATCACCTATAATGTGTTTAATTATTAATATAAGACAGTCATCTTCATGTTTCTTACAATATGCATCTCAGTGTGCTGACCCTTTGAAGCTGGGTGGCCCTATCTAATTAAAATATGCTTTTTAATTATACTATATGAAAATGCTGTATAAAAGGTCTCATATGCTTCACTAGGGGAATTTGAGAAACAGCCTGAAGTAAAAAGTATGTTCATCTCGATTTTTAGAAACTGAAAACTGAGACTAGTGACTGCTCGGGAAGCTGCGATTCGGGGGCACCGTACAGTGCTGGTCACAGAACAAAACCTGCCCCAGGAGGAGCAGGGCTGTGATGCAGGCACTGAACCATGATGCTCTAAACAAAAGAGCATTTGCAACAACAATGAAGTTGTGGTTCCCACCATGCTCTGCACAACTGTATTGCAGAACTGTAATTATCTTGATGTTCAAGGCCAAGTGCCTCAGTCTGGTGCTCAACTGTCGAAACTTTCAATCATCCGAACACAAAGAACAGAGACACAAGAAACTACTTTATGCTTTTTTCCTCCCTAACTGGATATCATCCTGATACCCTCATCTCTGCACCCAACCATCCTTCCTGATGTTTTCCTTTGTTTATCTACTGATGAAAATAAAAATGTTTGAGAATTATAAATATATATACAGAAACAAAATATATTTTTCATAATTCAGTCTTATTGCTTTCCAGTTTTGTTTCCCAGTTTTTTATTTACAGCCAGGAGAAAAATGAGCCCCATTACCTTGTTTCTTGGAAGTTAAATTTCTTTTTTTGGTTTGTAAGATCTAAAATATTTAATTCCAGATGTCCTGGAATTTCTTTGTTTTTGGTGTTTTCCTCTGATCTACTGTGAACACTGTGAGGGGCTTTCCAGAATATGAGGCACTCTGGAAAAAATACTATCTCATTATGATTTTATCTTCTGCACAAATAACTTAAAGGCAAGTTGTTAGGTTTTTATCCTCCTTTCTCTTCTCCTTTTTCCTTATCTGATTTGTTTTCAGTGAGAAAAAACAATACCACTTAAAAGGTAGTCTAATATATAGGTTGTTTTGACATTTAGCAAGTGTATGTTTGGATAATGAGAATGCACTTGTGTATTAATTTAATCTAGCTAACTTTTTTGACATTAAATGATGAGGAAAAAAACCCCAAATCTTTTGTTACACTAGGCTCAACTTGGCTAAATTAATAAAAACGCAATTGTAAACTATGTTCACAGAGAAATTTGCCGTTGTTTAATGACCTGCTATTTAAAATATTTTAATTAAAACAAACCTCCATGCATGTAGTTTCTCTCAGACCAATGTTCTGCAATGCATATATATCTCCACAATTATGACAGTGTGTGGGAATCGAGCTATGTCAGTGAGGAGGGGTTTTACATGTACCTATAAAATTACAATATCAAATACCTCCACTTTGTTTAATTACACTTCACTTTCCACGTTTTGTTTTTTTTTTAGTTATACCAGTGATGATAAGCAAATGCATTATAACAAATATTTTCACAAGGCCTGGGAGAATTGCAATTCCCATTCAGGTGTGGTGACAAAAATCTCATTAATATAAAACCAGGAGAACCAGTCAAGATACAGAACTCTGCCTAAAATTGACAGAGCAGTATCTCTCAAAAAGAAATACATATACAACAGGTTAAAGACCATAAAAGAAATCTCACATATGCTAGAACAAAGGGAATCCCAAATTTAGCCCAGTTCATTGTATACCAGGAAACCTGAGGTGCTCACTACATCTCTCTCTCTCCCATGGAACACCACTAACCAATAAGCTCATACTTGTAAGACCTCTCATGTCTGCAAGCCTTGACTTCATGTGGTACACCCCAAAACCAAGAACCTGCCTCCTCTCCGTACCCTAACGTGATCTCACAGACACCAAGGGCATTAATAGCAAGGTATAAAAAAGTAACTGTGAGCATGGAACCACTCTGAATTAGGTCACTGCACAAGTTATCTGGACACTGAATTTTAGCTACATGCTACTTTCACTTTTTTTTTTTTTTTTAATTATCAGCATCGAGGGAGAAAGTGTAAAATCATCAGTGGTAAACTCTTCAGGTGACAAACGAGGTGAGTGGCTAAATGAAGAGAAGCAGCAACCAGCCTCATAGCTGTCTTATGGAGAAGCAAAAGAAGATAAACTGTAATCTGTAAGGAGGATTTCCTAGATCCTGAACTGTTTGGAAGAGCTGAATTCATAAGTATATTGGAGATTAATTACTAAGGTAGCTTCTGAAGCCAGGGCTAACTGATTACATTGTTGTGTGATCTGCTGCTTGCTTCTACAAAGCACCCATCATGCCTCCACTGCAGGAGCACCCAGGAAGAACATGACTCCTGTCAAATAATTCTGAAACTAATTAAAAAGAACTAACGCAACATTAAGTCTGTAGCTAGGTTTCCACATGACAGCAAAGGACTTAGATCAGTGCAAATATTTCCATGGGCAAGGAGGATAAGACACGAGGCTCCAGAAGAGGCATCTGAACCCCCAGCACTTGCATGAGATCAACTGAATCAAAGATCATCCCACATGCAGCATCTTGGGGTGGGGGCAAGGGAGGGTTTGTACGTGATGGGAAAACTGTTGAACTTTAAACAGTACCTAGTTTATGCACATCAGGATGAGGGTAATGCGGTAAAACTCTTTGCCTGGGTTTAAGAAAAAGCATAGCAGATTACTGTGAATACTGCAGGCTATGTACTCCCATTGGAGAACTAAATTGTCAACAAACAGACCACAGTAATCCAATTAGGAAAGGCTTTTTGCATCCTGACAAGTGAGCGTAGGTTGAAGATTAACTGAAGGACATATCCTCCAGATAAAAATCCACCTATTGAAATGGCAGACCTCTTTAGTGAGTCCTATGAATCTGATACAAACTCCAGATTTGCAACATTCATCTCCTGTGACTTGGTGACAGACGTGGACAGGAATATAATCAACAGAAACATGACAACAATAGACTTAAGCATTCGTCTAAAATTTTTTACCATTTTCATTGTTTCAGTTATCTTCTGGAGCAAGCAGTCATGCAGTTGTGCTGTCTGAGTCATAACCTCAGGTCCAAACCAACATCACTTGAGTCCAGCCATAAGGCTGTGCTGTGCTGGCCCCATCTCTGCACGCATTAACATCAAGCCTTGCCTCAAAAATAAACAAGGACCTGTTTTAACACGCACAGTAAATCTGAGAGTTAAAACCAGCAGCTGAGTGGGCATGCAGACTTCTGCTGAGAATCCATGTCAGGAAAGAAATGTCTTTCACGGGGATCTCCCCCAGGTTGCCAGCCATGGGCAGCCCAGGAATGGCCCTTCCTCAGCCACTTTAGACTTGTCTAGTCACCAACTGCTTCTATGTGACCTAGAAGAGATGAAGATGGTATGCCTCAGCTTCCCACCTCTTTGGTGAAGGCGACAGCATCCCCTTGCTCAAAGCAGTGACTCAAAGCTGTTAGCAGCTTCTACAGAGCCCACAGCAGTCCTTAGATGTGAAATGTTTTGTGCAGGTACAGCTTGCAATGATCAGAAGTCACCATTCTCTGACAATATATGTAGACTCAAAAGCAAGAATTTTGCCAGGTAATGCATCTTAATCTAAATATCCAAAAATAATACTTATTTTCAGGAATTCATGATAAAAAATGGACATGGTCCTAAATGGAGAGAAATAAAAAGTATACACCACAGTTGACTGCTGTGTTCTTTAAATGCAGCATGCACTGCCCAATAGCCAATGGAAGACTTATTATCCATGGCTAATTGCAATGAAAAGGTTGTATGGGTTCCCTATTTGTTTAGACATGAAGTCAGCTCATGAGATGACATCTGGGGTTCATTGCTCTTTGGTGTGGAAACTTCAAAGCATAGAGAGTAAGATTTATGAGACACAACATCTCGTTGTACATAGCTGAGTGGTGAAGTTCATAAAAAGAGAAATTCTTATAATGGCCTGGATTGAAAGGGACCTTAAAAGTCATCTAGTTTCAGCCCTCCTGCTATGGACAGAAACACGTTTCACTAGACCTGGTTGCTCAAAGCCCCATCCGATCTGCTCTTAAACATTTCCAGGGATGGGGCATTTACAGCTTTTCCAGGCAACCAATTCCAGTGTCTCATCACACTCACGGTAAAGAATGTCTTCCTAACATCTGATCTAAACCTACCTTCTTTCGTTTTGAAACCATTCCCCCTTGTCCTGTATATCCTTGCAAACAGTCTCTCTCTACCTTTCTTGTAGGCTCCCTTCAGGTACTGGAAGGCTGCAATTTGGCCACCCTGAAGCCTTCTCTTCTCCAGGATGAACAATGCAAATTCTCTCAGCCTTTCTCATATGATAGGTGCTCCATCCCTGTAATTGTCTTGGTAGCCCTCACCTAGACTTGTTCCAACAGGCTGATATTCTTCCTGTGCTGGGCACCCCAGGGCTGGATGCAGTGCTCCAGGAGGGGTCTCATCAGAGCAGAGCAGAGGGGCAGAATCCCCTCCCTTGCCCTGCTAGCCACCCTTCTTTTGATGCAACCCCATTTGGCTTTTTGGGCTGCAAGTGCCCATTACTGGGTCATGCCCAGCCTCTCATCCATCAGTACCCCCAAGGCCCCTTGGCAGGGCTGCTCTTGATCTGCCCATCCCCCAGCCTGTATCGATACCAGGGGTTGTCCTGACCCAGGTGCAGCACCTTGGACTTGATCTTATTAAACCTCATTTGAGATTCCCGTGGGCCCATTTCTCACATTTGTCCAGGTGCCTCTGATGGCATCCTGTCCTTCAGGTGTGTCAATCACACCACTCAGCTTGGTGTCATCTGCAAACCTGTGGAGGGTGCACTCGATCCCTTTGTCTATGTCATTGGTGAAAATATTAAATAAAACTAATGATAGCCTTTTCCAGCATTTGCATCAGTCATGCTCTGAAAAATGTTTGGAGGATTTAAGCTCTGCTTCTGGATCATCACTGCACTGTTTACAGGGTCCTTGCCAGCCACCCAAGTGCTGTGACCCTCTGGGGGCTCAGAAGGGGTTGGAAGGAAACTGAGGTACCTGGCTGTACACAACTTCTGCCAATCACAGGGACACAGCTTGCCATGTCTACACCAACAGAGATGTCTGCTCATTCAATAAAGGCAGAAGAGGGCTTTTCTCACAAAATTTTCATGCTGATGAGACAGAGGAAGTTGAAGATGAATGGAAAAGACTGTGCTGGGACATCAACTAAGAATGGACCTCATAAACAAATGATCATGATGATGTGATCATTAGATCACCATCAGATGTGAAAAAGATGGCTGCAGAGAGCAACAAGTCCACAGCAATCAATGGGAAATGGTGCTGCAGTTATGAAGACTTAGTTTCACTACAAACATCAGAAAAACAGCATGGCATACCACTGCTGGAAAAGAAGAAAATTTCGAAAAATATCTAAACCTCCAGTGCTATACAGACCTTCACTGGGATGGAACCACCCTCAACAAGCTTTCTCTCAGTAATGCCATACAGAAACTGCAAGGTAAGGCAACCAGGTATTCTCCTCTGAGGCACTGAGAAACAACAAAAGTTATTAAAAGACTGATAGCCAGCACTCTTCTACTTCTCTTGCATCCAAAATTAGCAGAAAAGCTTCATAAAAAAATGTTAAGATTTTAAATTCTGGAAATACTGCAAATCACTCAGCACCCTAATAACTGAAACTATATTTAAACCCTTGAAACTGAATATATACATTTTTTGAGAGAATTAGATCTTGCCTGGGTTTCATCTCTTTATTATATAAAAGCACCTGGGATCCAGGTGCGTAACTTTGAAGACCTAGACTAAAGGACACTGTTCAGGCAGCAGTGATACAAAATATTTCAGTACCTTTACTATGTTGCCTTAACATTTGAATGAGGTATCACTCATGGCCCATGAAGTTGTCACATGCCATGGGAATGTGTCTGTACATTCATGGGAATGTCTGTAAACAACAAAGCTTCTTATTTAGTGTTTTGTATTAAAGACAAACTTGGTCACAGCTGCTTGAACGTACTGGCAAAGCCCCACAACCCTGTAAGGATAACTTTTGTTCAGCCTTACTGTCATAAAACCATGGCCTTTCATAAGCTAAATAAGGAGTTAAAGATACACTAAGGTACCTGTAGGAATCAAATTTAGATCTGCTGTACAGGATTTGGCTGTTACATACCTGTGATTCCACTGCTCCAGAGGAGCTGCAGAAGTGCAACTGAGAGTGGAATTTCAGACTTTCTTGCCCAAGATAAAACACTCATTATGACTACCCTGGCTGCCAGTTTTTTCTACTTGAAAGCTGAAATTCCCCCAAATAAATCTCTCTGGCCTGAAAAATGAGAATCTGGTATCAGACTAAACTGGGAAATCACTATCTGAAGAATGGATATAAGTAAAGATAACACAGAAGCATATCTTCACGTGTACTTCTATGCTGTATGTTTGCAAGAGCCAAACACCGAGAACTTACTAAGCAATATGAACAGGAACTTCTGGCACGATGCTATGAAACCAGCTATAATTACCTTCTCATGACACCAAAGTCAGAATTCACAGAAGCCACATTAGATGTCACGATTCCTCATGTCAATACGGTATCATAGATACAAATTAGGAGGAAAAAAAGTATAACACATAAAAGATCTCTAATTGCTGTATTTGATTACTAGAAGATTTACAGCCACTTAAGATTTCTCCCCTCTCTGAAGTGAAATCCAAGGAGAGATGCAGAGGATATGGGGAATTCTCTGATGATCTTTTTCCCCTTACAAACTGCTCCTTGCTAGGGCTTATGTAGCAAAGGAGGCAGAGAGAATGTGATATGAGAACAGAGGAGGAGAACTGTGGGAACATTAAATCTCTTCCTTATTTCAGGGGTTGTTGGCACTTTTTTTTGTTTGTTTGTTTGTTTGTTTTGCATTAGAGTGCTTTTATTATGTGTCAATTAAATTTTACTCTTTGGGAGCAGTCTTCTTGTCTGCTGAGCAGAAGAACTGAGGCCATTGTGCTGCTGGAGGACCAAGCAATGGCAGGAGGTACCCAGGTCAGGGCAGGAATTGTGGGAATTCATACCCAAGAAGGTGGTGACTATGGCCACAGTGGTCACACAGGCACCAGGATGGGGCTGGAAATACATCTCATTCAGGAACTGCTGTGGCATCCATGCCTCCAAAGCTGGTGTAGATGACACAATGCATTTACTGTTCATGGGGTTGCCATCCGGGGAATACAGACAATTTCACCTCTGTCCAAGCCTTCACCTGTAGCTCAACTCAGCTGCTTCTACAGCACTCAAAGATACATGAACTAAAGCTAGAAAAAATACATATGTTTTACATAGTTCATTAAATTTGTTTGCTTAACTTTAATTACACCCTTTAACCCTTCAGCTACACACACCACTCTCTGCCACCAATGTTAGTGTTTACACTGTTCACTTCTCTACACTAATCTGTATACAAAGAAAAGAAGTCTGAAAAAATATTATTAAAGAAGTCTGAAAAAAATATTATTAAAAATATATGTACTTCTTCATTCACCTCCTTACATCACAGGAAGTGAAGTGAATTCCAAATCACCCTAACCCAGCCAGTAATCAGGTTTCAGAAATACCTTGCAGAAGCTCAGTTTACCTCTGTGCCCGTAACAAAAGACTCCCGAAGACAGAGAAACTTTCATCATGTATAAATGACTAACAATTACATCAAAACAAATGGAGTGCTTCAAAGCAGCGTGGAAAAATAGGGGGAAATTCCATCCTATTAAGATAGGACATAATTATCTTCTACAGGAAATAAACGCTATATTTTTAGCAGGTGACCAGTCAGATAGATTCAGTACAGGGTTATGATTGTGTAGTGATTTCTAACTGAATTGCAGCCTATCTCCCAAGATAGATGACAGATCTTGGTATTTTCTTGTAATTATTTTTCTATGTAGGCTCTTAATTGGGAAATGGAAACATGAGAGCTCCTAGAGAAGGATGCATGTCATTCACTATCACCATTCATATTTCATCTTTTACAATTAATTCAAAGATTTGTAAGTACCTCATACTGAGATGTTACTGCACTGAGTTAGTACCATGATAAAATTTCAGTAATACCAGAATTTTCCAGCCTTCAGACTTAGCAACTTTCTGCTCATTCCAATTTATGATTGCTGCATTTCATGAACCAATATACACTGCTGCTATTGAAGTATATTTACATATCAAATAGATATAAAATCTGGATTGCTGTAAACAATAAATTTACATACAAGCTGAAAACACATTATTATTATTAAGGGTATAAACTGAACTTGCAAATGGATGTGAACATATTTAAAGAAAAGATTAAAATCAGAGGTAAAATAACAATTCTTAAAAAAGGATTGGGACAAAATTCAATAATGCATCTTCATAAATTATTTCTAGTAGTAGACTAATTGTAGATAACATTTTCAATCTTGTTCTGTCAAGCGGATGAAAATCAACCAAAATGGCCAACATACATGTCAGGTTTGACAGGCAAAACACTGTCATGCAACATGGAACCTAAAGGCACTAATGTAACATAAACCAGTCACAGTGCAGACACTAAATTTCTACTACATTCATTCAGCAATAAAACAGAAATATTCAATCATGTTTGTATCAATTTATGGGATAAGGGTCCAGATCCCTCTTGATCATGGCTGGATGTGCTTTTCCCTGCCCAGCGTGAGTATGATCAAACTATCCTTCCAAGGAAGAAAGTGTTTCACTGAAGTGCAGTTAACCCTGAAACCTAAAGAGAGGGAAGCTATAAGCTCACTCCTTAACTTCTGATCACCTTAATATCCTGGCAGCAGGACAGTTAATTTTTAACTCATTTAACTATGCACTGAAAATACAGTTACAGATCAAATCTTTTTTTATGTATGAATAATATGGTGCTTCTCTTATAAATATGTACTGTGTCTGTTCTGACTACAGCATAAAGTATTAAACATGTTCATCAATTATTAATATAAGCTTATTCTCTTTTATTTTGAAAGTATATTTAGCCTTTTTTCTGAAGATTTCTAAAAAGAGACTTTCAAAATGTGGTGGAATGCATGTCATTCCAAAACCTAGGACATGGATGAATTAACTTCATTTATATGCATATCTTTGTTTAATGAAACCTGCTACTTCTAAGCATTCCTATTTACAGCATAATATTATGTAAACATTTTTAATGAAATCAACTGATCATAAAATCTACTTCATGCTGCCCAATGCTGTATGTATTGTGTATAAATGGATAATGGACTTTATAATGTATTTGACTGTGGAATTCATTCATGAGCAGCCTGGCAGGAAAATTACTCCTCAACAAACACCAAATATCCCAGCCATCTCACAGCTCTACTCAGGGTTTCTCCCACTGGACAAAAATTTTGTCTGCATCTTCTTAGGAAGGTCCTGCTGCCCTAAGCTCTGCACATATTTCAGGGAGCATCTCCTGTCCCCCTTGCTGGGGAAAGCCCAGTTCCCTTTCTGCCATGTGCTTGCTCACTAACTCCTTGCTTCTCCCACAGTCAAATTTTTGATTACACCCCTGAGCAAAAGCCACAGAAAGTGAAGGAAAACCCTTCCACCTGGAGGACTGGATCTACATCATCTAGATTTTTTTTTTACATCGAGACTTGAATAATTTATGGTTTCAATTTTTTATAACTTCAGCAGTGAGAGGCAGTGTTGGGAACCAGCCCCCCCTCTGCTTCACCCCTTGTTTGCAGGGGTCACAACAGACAGTGCTGAGCTGCCAGCGTAAATTACAGCAGGCAGCACGTCAGTGCAGAATGCTTAAATGCGTGTACACTTTCAAATACATAAATAATCCCACTGACTTTACTGAAGCACCAGAAAACATTCAGCTAATATTGTTTTGTAACTTCTCAGGAGTATTTGAGAAGCAGTACTTTCATCTTTATTAGCTGTCAAGTCCACGATGAGGCAAAGTACGTTCCTCAGCAGGCTGCTGGAGACAGGCCTGGAAGCAGCTACGTCCTTCTGGAGTTTTCTCTGGACATTTACAAACCAGAGCTGACTTGCAGTATTTCCCCCAAGTGTGTATTATTGCAGCTTTTTGGGAACAAGATCAATCTTAATGCTCTGTGCTGGCTGATGACCAAGGGTTGAGGACCTCCAACAGAGGCCGTGCACCCCCACTATATTCTGGTATGAGGGGACTGCAGAGAGGCCTGGAAGGCATGCGAGACCATGAGCCAGGGGATGTGCCCCATCTTTTTCCTTCCAGACAGAAGAAATAAATTTTCATAAAGCATTTTGAGCAGAAATTCAAAGAGTGCAAATGGCTTCAGCAGCTGACAATCCCTCTGTGTGGTCTGGAGCACGGCACGGTTCCTACCACCATGCACGCACAGAGATATGGGACGTACCCTAAGTGATGTGTGACACTCACAAGCCTTCTCCTGACTAGAAGGCAGTGCCAGGAGTTCTTCTCCCTTTGATTAAGAATGTCAGCAATTTCAGCTTGACACAAAACTGGCCTGGCTGACGGTCTAACATATAAATCATGGGTCAAAGATAAGATAAACACATACCAGTGTAGTCCTCATAGCATTCACAAGTGTAGCCCCCTTCTCGGCTTCGACAAAGCCCATTGCTCCCGCAAGGGTTGGAGTAGCAGAGGTCAATTTCCGTCTCACAGTAGTCCCCCGTGAAGCCCGGGGGGCATCGGCACCGCAGCCCGTTGATGGGGTGGATGGGGCGGAACAGGACAGTGTTGGAGCTGATGAACGGGGCCGAGCTGTCAAACTTCAGGACAGAGACACACTTCATGTAATTCTCACAGGGCTCACGCAAGCAGATGTTGTCGTCGAAGGGCAGCACCCTCTGTGTGGAAATCATGGTCAGTAGGGTCCTGTTGAGGTAGATCTGCTCCTGCAGGTCCTCAGAGGGGAAGAACTTGTTTCTAATGCCACCAGGGAGCAAGGCTGAGAAGGTCACATTTAGGATATTGGAGCTTACATCTGTGTCATTTTGGATGTTGAAAACAAAGATGCCATCCTTGGCAGTGGAGAGCACAGTTGCCACCCCCTCTACAAACAGGGACAGGAGTGGAGAAAGGAACCTCTCCTGGGACATGTTCTCCAGCCTCACTGTGATGCTGTTGGTGAGCATGTCATCCGTGATGATGGTGACACGCAGGGTGCAGACCGCTGTGACACTGTGGACACCATCTGAAGGGAAGAGAGAAAGATAACAGTGATGTCAGAGAGCAGGCTTCAACCTATGGACAAGGAGGCTCCCACAGTCTCCTGAAAATAAAACAGATCTGCAAGGCAGTTCAGTGAACTGGGATGGGAGAGGGAAATATATCCACCTTCTACAGTGATGTCTTTACTCGGGAAAACAAATTAAATCTCTTAAGGATTGCAACTCAAAGGATCCAAGACATCTTGAAGAGGCCAGAACATCTGGAGAAGATCCCAGGCAAACAACTAGCAAGGGGTAGTGAGGAAACAGTCTGAGAGCCCCATGTGTCCAAGGCGAAGCCAAGAGGAAGGAGCCTTTCATGATAGCAACTGATTGTCTACAGCTGGTGCTGGGAAGCTGTCCCTTTTTACAGCACAATACCAAAATTATCTTCTCCAGGTGTGGTCTCAGGCTTAAGGAGCCAGAAATATACACAGACAGAGAACTGTGATCAGAGCTTCAGACATAAGTCACCTGAGGAAACAATCTTCACATTTGAACACCAGAACTTCTTCATTCTTCACACCTAGATTCTTCAAAATATTTTATGAATATTAGGGAAAAAAAATAAAATATGTCTGCAGTGAAAAGCAGGCATTTAAAAACTCTTCCACTGTTTTAAAGCATTTCTGATATTGCTGTGGCTGTTCTGCAATAAAACCCCTAATTATATAAATATAGCACTAATACACACACTGGACTGAGAGATGCTGCTTTAAAATCTTAGTACACCCTGAGGCTTCCAGTAGTGCTATAATGTATAAAGTCTAGAGCATTCTATCATTACAGAACATAATTGTGACATGGTGAGTGCTAGAATTAACTTGAATTAAGTTCAAAGTGGGTATAGAATGGGAAGTTGCATCATCACTGAAATCAAACCATTTAGGTTAAATCTGTCTCCTTACTAACATTAAGGACTCCTTAAAATACAGATCGCACATTGCAGAAAATATGGTTAGTATTATTAGGGCTGCATCTAGAAATCCCAGGAGGGTGGAGTTCCCCTGGCTTCTCATAGAAATGTTCCTTCTGCAAGATCTCACTGCGTAAATAAACCAGAAATGAGGATGAGTTCACCTCATGAGAAAGATGAACTGGTTTGAGTGGCCAGTATCAGTCCCACAGTGGCGTTAAGAACTAAATCTAGTTCCCCTAGGTCCCAGCTTGGTGCCATAGTCTTAGCCTGAAGTATTCCTGAAATAATCATTACACGAGTAACCTGCTATTACATTTATTTCAGTTCAACCACAAGGTATGTGCAGAAATGGATTTTGAATCACATCAGTGTAAGGTTGCAGCAGGAACGGCATTTGAATCAATCTAAAGCCAGAGTGAGATCAAAAATCTAATAGCATAGACTGCTAAAGGTCATTTTGCTAAGGTTTCTTATCTCAAAGTGTGCGTTTATGACCCATTATGGTCATGCAGAAACAGAAAAGAAAAATAAGAATGGTTTCTTTCCTATTCACTGTCACCACCTCAGGAGCTGTTTTGTTCTAAAAAGAAATGTACTGTTGGAAGATTTTTCCTCCAGAATTACAGTAGCAATATTGTAAATTACATTAACCAAATAGCTTTTGACTCCCTCCTCCTGACCAGGTTGTCCGTAACAGCTCAGCTTTTACAGTTGGCTTTTTTCCACAATGAAGCAGTTTTTAGGCAAATAGAAAAATCTTTTCTCCTGTGTGCTACTTTAACTACTTCCTGGCTAGGGCCAGTCAGGAGAGTGATCCGTCTGACTTCTCCCAGATAACAAGTGAGAAGATGAGGAAATGGCCTCAGGTTGAGCCAGGGGAGGTTTAAACTGGGTATTGGGAAAAATTTCTTCACCAAAAGGATGGTTAGGTATTGGAACAGGCTGCCCAGGGAAGTGGTGGAGTCACCATCATATTTAAAAGATGTGCAGACGTGGCCCTTAGGGACATGATTTAGTGGTGGACTTGGCAGTGCTGGGTAAACGGTTGGACTTGATGATCTTAAAGATCTTTTCCAAAGTAAACAATTTTATGATTCTACGTTCCCCTCACTGAAGCTCACGTACCAGCTTTCACTTTCTCCCAAGTTTGCAGAAATCTTCTCTTCAGACTCATTTAAGAAATGTCTCAGCCTCCATCAAGACCCAAAGCAACCTCTGAAAATGATCGGTAGCCAAAATCCTCATTGCAACCTCCTCCTGCACGGTCTGTGGATTTCTGGCCAACAGACAATACAGGACACCAGCACTTTCAGAAATATCGTCCTCAGACTAGTTTACCCACCTCTGTCAATTGCACAGCTCATTCCCAAAAGGCCAGAAGCAGAATAAACTATTTAATTTTTTTTTTCATTAAGTAATTGACGTTTGCCTGTCTGTCCCATTGGGTGCCTGAACTATCTTGCTATTTGTTGCACAATACACTACAGAAGTTCTCTCATACCAGCAGAATGCTGGACAATGGGTCCTTTTTTAAAGCAAACACTATGATCTATAGCCCATGGTATGTATAGTAAAAAGACAAAATACGATCCACTGTCAGACAACGCACTAGAGTCTACAAACTGTCATAATCAATATCAACTGTCACAATATGCAAGAGCTTCCCAGCATTCACAACAGCTATTCTGACACAGTTAATAAATCAATGGAAAAAGCCTGGTGTCAGATACCACACAACCTCCTTGTTCCACAGGCAGCACAAAAGAAATCTGGGCACAGACGTATAGCTGCAAAATAAAGTTGTGTTTTAAAAGCCAGTTCGGCTTTGTGCAGCCCTGTTGCAGAGCATTAAAATAAAAAGAGAGTAAAAAGGAGCTGAGCATGTGTACTACAGACAACAAAAGAACGGCACAGCTATACAGCCAGCTGGACAAGCGCCTCTTTCACATCACCAGCAAGGCTGAGAGCAGCATCACGGGATCCAATCATCTATTCATTCAGAAACTCAAGGAAAGTTGAAACAATCTGTGGTTTTATGGGACCAACTTAGTATCTATTCTACTTTCAACAGACATCATTCGCTTTGAGGGCTGGAACAAGTGCAATAAAGACAGTGGAATTTTTTTGTCTTTGTTGGGAATTGAATTAAGCCCTAAGTATCCAGTATGTATGTGTTTTGAGATTTACAAGTGAAATATTCCATGAATGTTTATAATGTTTACTGCCAGAAAAGTCAGAAAAATAACACTAAGAAGTACTATTCTATGGAGTGCTACTATTCATGGCCTCCACTGTCTGAGATGCCTACCACATGCAGCTACCCAATATACATGCACAACCAATCTGTTGTTCTGCTAAAAAGGCTCTAAGAATCTGAGTTTTCAAAGGTCTTATGATACAGCCCTAAAAAGTCTCTACCATTGTTTTGGCAGGTACAAGATGGCTTCAGTCAGGGGTGTGGAACACCCTTCAAGTGATGCCACTCAGGAGAAACTCTGGCTACACTTTACTCTTTGGAGCAGACCTTTGCACATTTGAATGCACACACATACACAAGGCTTGGCTGTCACCAGTTCTCACAGCCATCATCTGCTGGCTTTCAGTAAACTGGTTGGATGCAAGTGTCTTCCTGAAAGAGCTCTAAACACTCAGATCATGTTGGCAAATGGGATGTGCAGGCATCTTGCTAAGAGTGATTTGAGCAGACGGCCTTGATCTTAGCAGCCCAAGCCACCAGAGAAAAGGGAAACACAGGACAGACCAAGGAGAAAGACAGGATTCAAACAATGCTTTTTATGGGCTTGGCTCCTAAGCCCTTGTACCAACAGCTTTTGTCAGTTTTGTCAATTAAGTTTCCCTTCCATAAGATAGGGATAATGGCACTCACATGTACACTGTGAAGCAGTGGGTGCAGACAATGAAATGCTGAGACACTGGGGTAATGAAAGCAACATAAATGTCTTAAAGAAATCATAAAAGGTTCTTTCAAAAGCTGTTGCAGCCAGGTTTATCAAGAACAAGGTGGAAAGATGAAAATAAGACTCAAAGTCTCACAGATCAGTAAATGAACAAAGACTATTCTGGACAGCCAGGTGGCTACACCAAAAATGTTTTAATCACAGATGTGGTCCCTGAAACCTTAATTTTTATCCTGGCAATATTATTTTATGTATACTTTCTACGAAAGGAATCTCCAGAAGGTGGAAATCAAAGCAGACTCTTGTCTTTTGTGTTACTGTCATTGCTGAATACAGTTCTTAGAGAATTACTCATCTTCATCCTCCATCAAACTGATGAAAAAATTTAGTAGCAAACACATACCCTGATGCATTACAAAGGAAAGAGAAGACAGCAAGGCTGACAAAAGCTTGAACCTCTCTAAAATACATGAATTACTAGAGAATTGACTAAATAAGCATTGTTTCATTATTACCTTCACTTTACAACAAACCTTATCAAATCTGAGACTTTAATCTCAGCTTTCTATCTTCTGGCAGTCCACAAACCAAAGAATTTTATTATCTAGAAATGTAAATACAGCAAAGTTTAACTGAAATGCATATTTGGCAATGGCAGCACCTGGCCAAAAAGGTTCTTTTGGTTTTTTTTTTTTTTAAGCTTGCAGAAGTAAAACAATTAACACTTTTTTAGCCTATTACTTACAAAGGTTTTAGGGCTAATTTTGAAATCTACATATTTTATATAAATACTTTATCATCAGAGCTTTCTTTCACAGATATAGCAACCCAAACCCATTATAATTCTGTTTGATAACACACCTGGAAATAACAGATGTCAGTGTTTATGACAGCCATCCAAACTCATTAGCTAGCAAAACATAGAATAAGGACACTCCATGTGTTCAAACAACCTCTTGCTCTTCTCAGCTCGCAAGAAGCCATCATGGCCATGGGTAGCAGCTATGGCTTGGAATGATCAAACCGCCATCCCCCATTTGCTTCCAGCCATGTCTTTGGATATGGGAGTTAATACACACCTAATCCAGCACTAAGCCTGGAATTACTGAGGAGGATGTCATGCTTTTAGCGTCCTCTCCACTGCTTG